GTAAAGTGGCTGAAATTCCTTTGGATAGTGTACTTTTGGAAATTTTAAATAATCTTAGCACACTGCTAACTAAAATAACTGCTCCCTTTGCTCCAAAAATCAACCTGAATTTGTCTAAAGTACACTATCCTTGGCAGCTGTTAAAATAGGGAAAATGAATTTTGCCAAACTAAACAATACCAACTTCTAAAAGTGCAATGAATGAATTACCAAATACATACAATTTTAAAAAAAGTTATCGGCTCTTTTTTACAATTTACCTCTGAATTTCGGGAAGTGAAAATGAGCAAGTAGAGCTAGCACTTTTTTTTGAAAATTGCATATTTGGAGTAAGGAAAAGCTGTATACTCTCTAACCCATATTACACCCATCAATCATACACCAAAAAAAGGGAATTAAAGGTTCTTTGAACAATACCTAAGATATGCAAACTCTTTTTTAAATAGCCAGTATAACTAGTGAGGTAACCCGAGGAAATTCTTTTTCTTTCAAATTCCCTATGCTAAATACGAAACTGTAGAGCGACACCTTAGATCCTTCGCTGTGAAGGATGGCGTCATCTAACAATATTTAGATATAATATACAACGTAAGTAGATGTATGTTATTAAAATAGATAAGAACTATTTTTTAATAATGAAATAACTGATTAGGGTATATAATGAACACGTCATCATAACAGTAACTCGATAATTATACTTGTATCATGTCTCGACACGTCTCATTTAATTGCAGACATCAGATCACGTTCGACCCTACGGGTCTCGCGAGATCCCATCTCCGTAGATCAACTCCAGAAAATATATGCAATTAGGTCAAGTTATGTACTAATATTCTGTATGTACCAGTCTTACGCTTGATAAGTGACTGCATGTTCTGCTCTCCAAAGGATGAGCTAACGTTAGTCAATCAGTAAGAATAATAAGTAATATGTATTATAAATGGGTGCAAATACATTTACATTTCAGTTGTAAATGTTGGCAACATTATTTTGTTTGTTTTCTGTTGTTGTTTTGTATGTTTGTTTTATTGTTTTTTTCTTTTCGTAACAATGTAAAAAATGAACTTCGATTTACAAAATTTTCATATAATGTAATCCATATTAATAATTCATACGATCAATAAATACTAATGTATCACGCGTAATGTGAAGGACGTATGACGAGTCACTGTAACCTTAGGAAATAGCAGTTTTGTCCTTTCGATTAAATACGTGAAATACGATTCAACATAATACAACACCTACTCATGACAGCAAAACCAATAAATTTCACATTGAAATGTAAGACTAGTTGGTATTTGTGTATTTTTTATGTGTAAATGATCTTAATCTATTTTTCAATTCCGACTCTTTTATCTGCACCACTATTGAGAAAGATAATTTGCTCTATCCTGATTCCGTGTAAATTATATTAGAAGACAAATCGATTTTTACCAGCTATAAACTTAGCGTGAAATGCTTTACATAAATATTGCATACGATCACAATGAGTATGAGCGTATTTATTGCGGCACTATAGACCGGCAGCTCTTTACTTGTTCACCTGTGACAGATTATCAGCTGTTACCATGGAAACCGGTTTAACGCTGGAGATAATGTTGACATTCTTCAATCACCGTGCAACATATAAAAATAGATTCGTTTGATTCCTGACGTCTACGCAAAATGTAAAGGAAATATTCTTCGTATTTAACAATGACGAAGAATTTGCTGGGTTCAATGGATTACTGACCAGGTAAGGATTGTGTTATAAACTCGACATAAATCTAAATCCGGTTTTGTGTTATCGCGATGTATAGCTCTATGGTCACGGTAAGCATTTTTTTTACCATTAGTGCAACATTGGCAAAATGATGCAAGGATGTACAAGGAAAGGAGATGTCGCCAACATGTACAAAAATATTTAAAGGTAATAGATGAAGGCATTTCCACTTGGAATTTACCTAGAACCAAAGCCCATTTTCACCAACATGTTTACAAGTAAAAATTCGGATTGTTGAGATTTAATTGATAAATCTTATGTCAGACTTAAATCTCAGCCAATCAACCTAATGGAATTCAAACTTAAGTTAAAGGCTCGTCATCATTGGTGAAATCCAAGAGAGGTAGCATGTAAAGTCAAAACCTTGTGTAACTTCTATTAATCTGCTAATTTTTCTTGCATATGTGCATGCTATGCAAGAAATGGATTTTAAAAATATTGTTTCGAATTGTGGTGGATCTTTAATAGTCTTTGTTTTATTTGACTTTCAATCAACAATGAGAGTTGACATATACTCACGCGCGTGCATGTGGGTGCGCAAGCAAGCACACGCGCACAGATCAAATTCATTGCTAGCTCACTTGAAATTTACTTTGATAACTTAAAATTGAACCTAAAATTAAGTATAGAAACCTACAATGGATGAAATTTCATTTTAAAAATGTTTGACCAATCGAATTTAATTTATGTCCAGACTTTGGCTACTTTGTACTACGGATTTTGAATGTGGAATTTAATTTCACACATTTATCCTTAAAGAAGTCTTCTAAGTGATTCACATAAGCTACCCGATTATTTAACTTAGAGAAATCTAGGTCGATAGTGCCACTATCAGCTTTATATATGTACCGAAAAATAATCTATACCTGGATCATACGATATCTAAGAGCTTCCCAAATGGGTTACCTATATTTGAGTTTCGGTGTGCTTTGTAGGTTGCGTTCTGATAACGGTGACAGAACATGTTTCACATTAAGTTATGGTTTTCCGTATTCGATAATGATAACAAATAGGGAGAGCGTGACAAAATATGTTACAAATAAAATGCATCTTGTGCAGATTTGCACTTGGTATTTTTTCAAGAGAACGAACTACATGCCTTATCAAATAAAGAAGATAGCAAGTAATTATGCGAATTGCTTCCAGAAGATTTTATACTAACGAACATGATTAATGTTTTATATACATTAATATCTTTGTCGAGTATCACCAGATTGTACAGAACGGAAGTTAATTCCGAGTAAAGGTTTATACGAAGCTTTTTTAAAATAAATAAATTGGAACATCGAGTGATAACATAATAATTTGAAAGTGTTATACTTTTTCTAACGTCACTTTACTTATATTATTGAAACTGTTAATCTAAAACAAATAAATTCTAGACCTTATCAGAATTTACACACAAGATATGGAAACACCTTCTTATACATATATACTTGAAGAATATTGCGTGCAAGTTGCAGGAAATATTTCCACATCAGGAAACATTCAGGGAACAGTTACACATAGACGAACAAAATAACTTTAATCACGATTTGGGACCCGTATTTTTCTAGTTTGCTAATATGTTTTAACAAGAACCAAAACACCAATATACCTACCAGGATTGGTACTGATAAGGTGGGCTGGAGGCGAATCTCAGGCTCGGTTCGTTATGCTAATCTCTACGCTATTGACACACGCATAGCACTAACTCTAAACCAAGGAAATACTATTTTGGCATTGTTTCAATTATACACGCTGAGAGACTGTATCGTGTTACTTTGTAAATGACCGCATCGCCTTGTTATGGTAACGGTTTTGTGGTTTTTGAGCAGGACTTTGTAAACCTATCAATTTTGCAAATAGCTGCATACCGAGAATCACAATTTATGATCTATAGCAGCAGTCGGCTATCTCCTTACAGAAGAAAAAATTAATTATACATAAGCACTCTGGCCTAAAATCATGACGTCTCATTTGTAGTTTTTCTGTCTTTTTTGTTATTGTCCTGCAGCCGTGCATATTATAATATGGACCTTTTGTCAGAATTAAAGAATTCCTCGTATGTATATATATATATATATATATATATATATATATATATATATATATATATATATATATATATATATATATATATATATATATATATATATATATAGAGAGAGAGAGAGAGAGAGAGAGAGAGAGAGAGAGAGAGAGAGAGATACTGTATCTACTGTTGTAATAAATGCACAGACTGTATTGATGTAATTATGTTTTATCGTGTGTGTTATCTTGCATATTATATTCAAATCAATAAATGTTTAAAAATCAGATGAGTACGAGCTTTTGGAGAAGTTTGTTTTACCTGTTTAGTCATGTTCACTGGCTTTAATCCATTAGTCGTGGGAAAAATTATGTTGGTATGGTCAGTCAGTCAAAACATAATTCCTGGGTTTGTAATCTCTCCGCTTATGTTGTCAGACTTTTGTAAGGCACAAACGGAGCGAAGTTTGCTACACTTTTAGCGTCAGCAAAAATTCCAAGGATTATTGATTTTACCACATTTACATCGTGTATATCGGATCAACTATGAATCTATTTTTTTTTTATCAGACGATCTCATTTCCTTTGATCCAATTATCAAGTAGGAATCTTACCGACTTTAAATTACAATATATTACATTAATGCAGTTCTCGTGTAATTAGTGGCTAAGATGAACATGCACAGGGGAATACGGGTAGGCTTTTGTTGAGGATATCAAACAAGAACACAACACCGGAACAGTATCCTGACTTTCTCCTGAGCTGTCGTGACATGGATCTCCCTAATATGAGAGTCTCTTTTTCCAGGACCTCCACGTTTATGGTCACGGACCCTCATTTTTATCAATTCGGGTATGCATCTTTCGTATAAAAAGAGACGTCAAGCAGGCATGCCTCCTGTCTCATTTGTTCAAATCTGATTATATATGTATTGAGAATCTCTTTAAAGATTATATTTTAACAGCAGTGTATAATTTATATCGAACGGACATTATGTGTACCAGTCTGAATATCCAAAATACCTCGTGCCAATGCCTGGTTGATATTGCGGATTTGAGGAAGTTGAATGTTGATTGACAACGGACGAAGCAAGATTCGGGCAGACAAAGAGCCATACTTTAGGCTATTTTGGCCTTAGAGCCAGGTGAGCTAAAAGAAATGTACGTTACAAATTACATGTGATATTATATCAGCGTTAGATTTACATTTACTCTGAATATACCGCTGCGGTGGCCTAGTGGCTATGGTTATAGCGTCCGCCTCGAAAGCAAGAGGTCGCCGGTTCGATCCCCGGCCGAGTCATACCAAAGACTTACAGAAATGGTACTAACAGCTGCCTCGCTTGGCGCTCAGGATTATGAGGTTAGTGTTATGACTGGTCGGCCTGGAGTCAGGATAATGTGACTGGGTGGGACATCATGCTACATGTCTGCGGCATGATGCCCAGTGCTAGACATCACTCTAAATTGACACAATGTAGACATAGTAGCTATATGAATAAAAAAAATAAAGCTACTTTAAAAATCTAATTCAGATCACATCACATATTTTGAATATTCACTCTGGTTTTCCCTTTATCTGTGCTCATTTTGAATGTAATTTGTGATCGTCCAGTGCTATCACCAAATATAGTACAGTAGCCAGAGAATAACATTGCAACTTGCTTGCAAATTTTGACTAGTTTCAACAGAGTTGATTATTCGTGTTCTCATTTCAAATGAAAACTTGTCGAGTTGGTTTTATCTTATTCCAGCTTTAGAATGTAATAACTAAATGAATTTCTTTAATAAACCTTTCTATCATTGATTCATCAATTAATTAACTCATTTTAGCCTCCTTAAACAAGAAGTTGGAAACAATGGGTTGTGCATCATCCCGCTCGTTAGGTGTAAAGGGGTCATACAGGGACTGCAGTGATGTTTTCTTCACCGACGGTGCTTCCTCACGGGGTGAGCCCGATGGGCAAGAAAAACATGGAAACTTGAGTGAGTAATGTTTAATATATTCTGTATTTAATGGTCTATTTTCTAAGTAAGCATATAAAGGATCTATACCAATATATTCCTGAGCATTTTGTCGAGAATATTTAAAGATGTTGTTAAATAGTTTATAAACATGCACTTGTGATAAATTTTATTATATTGATGTTACACGGGAAATGTACTAGCTTCCACCTGAAGGTAGTATGTCATAACATGCTGTAGGCTGTGATGCTGGCGCTACCTATGCCATCAATCCACCCACTGGAAACACATGGCTACTATTGCTAGACAGGTTAAGTCCATCTTATTGACTGCTTACAGATACATAGTGAGTCTTTGTTAAATTTAAAAAATTGATATTTTGTTCAAATGAAACAAAAAAACCCGGACATTTTATATAAAATCTTTGCTCTCTCATTTCTTTCTGCTCAATGCAAGACAACTTCATTACTACTGCAATAAAACACAACAACAACCACCCCAAAAAATCAAAACAACAACATTATCATACTCCTGCACAAGAACTTAGTTGAACCATTTATTCAATTATTGCATAAAACACACTCGTATCTCCAGACAAGAACATTGGCGAATCACTTTCCCGCTACTGCATAAAATAATAAAACGGATACATATTCTCAGATATACTCACTGTATTTACTACCGGACCAATTTCATTACTTTAGGATTTTCAGCGATCTGATATGGATTTCTCCTACACTTTGCTACTGAAGCATCTATTGCAGTACTTATTTCTGCATCCACGTTACAATAAACTGGTTTAATATTGTGTTTTTAGTGTGAAACCAGTCTACATTCCTGAATTTTCTATTGCACTCTAATGTTTAATATAAATGTCTTTGCGTCGAGTTGATAAAGGATTTGATGAGTATTTCACTTTCAAATTGGTCAGTATTTATAAGTTAGTGCATTTGGATGTGAGTTTTTCGGATGCTTATGCTGCAGTATATCCATCCAACAAAACGAGTTCATATTTTCCCATACAAGTGTAGTTACCTCTTTATTATATCCTCATTTTCTTATTCTACCCAAGGCCTAAATATATAAACAAAAATACGCTTCAAAAAATAAAGTTACCAAATGTATGCCATTTTCCAAACTAAATATACAAGCTGCATCATTACATAACAGCAGTATTAATGGGCACGTAACTCCACTCAGATTTGAAGTTGGTCGCGCTGGACATAAGTTTGGAAAGAAAATGGTGTTTGCTCCTCTTAAAATTTTAATTTGGAATAACATTGTTAATGAATGCGCATTGCAACAACTTTTCTATTTGATCTGGAATGAATACGTTTTGGTATTTTTGTCGATTTGACGCAATCTCGTAATTATGGTCTGGATTTATCAACATGAAATAACTTAAATCGGATTAAAACAGCGTCTGCCAATTTAATCGAAATGAAGTGTGTTGACATCGGCTTGCGTGTTTGTTTTCTGTCATTCAATGATTCATCCCGTGATGTGATAAAATATGAAGTCTTTCCATTGCAATTATCGAAAAAAGAAACCTCAGTGGAACTTAAAGTTTATTTTATTTTGAGTGCAGTAAGGAGGATGTAACTGCACTTGGAATTTCATGGAAATTATAGTACAATTTCGAAATGTTTAATCAACTTTTTAAACCACGACATGGCTCATGTAATTCGGATTTTCAGAACTACGAAAATATATTTTGAGGAAATTCAGGATGTAAAATTGTAAGTATATTTTGCCATTTTTATTACTAGATAAATAGAACAGTTTGTCTTATAACTTGTTAATGTAATGAATCTGTCTGGCGCCCATAGCTATCCTACGTCTGAAACACTATCAAAAAAGTTAACGCGGAAAGTGCAAAAGCTGCTGATATGTGGCAGTCCATGAAGCATTTGCTTTAGTTCATTCCAAACATAAATGTTTGTTTACAATAGAAAATAGTTCCTGTATGCGCTTACATTTAGTATGAATTCAGTGCAATATCGGGAAATATTGAACGATACTGAATGGTTTAATTACTTCTGAGTATTATATTCATTAACATTTTCTTGTATGTACATAATGTGATGTTATACATCAAATTGAGCCCAAAAGGTGATGTCTACTACTCCTAACTGATCTAAGACACTTTAACGCTATCTCACATTTTTAAGAACTCAGACATATATGTCTGACAAACTACACACTTGATCCAGATGCACACTTGATCAAGAACACGCGGTTTACCTCATGATATCAGATTTGAAATATCGGGTGAGGAATATGAACGTTTGAAGGACTTTTTCATTAGTTTATGATTGAGCGAAGAATTAGATGATTAGTCAGATTTCACATAAATATGCCTAGGCAAATATTCAATATTATTTTGATTGAGGAGTACGTAATATAAAATGTGACAATGATCATAAAATGTTAATGTTACATGAGAGGATAATGTCCGGTCAAGGTCATATATTTTGTATTACTACATACCAAAAATTTGCATGATTGAGCAATGAGCCAATATGTGCCGGTTAAACGTTTCGGGTGAGAAATGGTGAAAAACTTGCGTGGTTAAAATAAACTTATAAACTTGTTAACAGCTGGATATTAATGATACGGCTCAATTTTCGTAGACGATGTGAAAATACCAACACGATCATTTGTTTTTAAAATTGTAGTTTGAATAAACTTGATTTTCTCGAATGTTCTCTAATTCGTTTTTTTTTTTTGTCATGTCGTTTGTAGTCACCTTATCAAGTTTATCAGAACTGTCATGAGCTGGAGGTATATACTTTCTGGTCTTGAATTCAATACGAATATGCTCGATGTTCTTGTTTATCTCCCTAATTTTCTAATACGCGGTTTTACCACATCTGCAAAATTCTAGAAACATTTGTTGTTCTGCTTGATGTTGCTAGCTATATATCCCATAATTTATATGCTAAAAATAATTTACGTATTGTGTTAGGGATCTGTTAACTGTTAAACGATTCATCACATACCTTTCGTTTAAAATATACATGCTCTTGTACTTTAAGTCTCTTGGACTTCAAAATCAGATCGAATGTTATTACTTGATTAATTTTAAATACATGTATTTCCTAATAAAGTAAGGAATGTAGCCTTTAGTAAAAAAAATGTTTTGAATTTTTAAATTCCTATTCTCTCTCCAACTTTGACTTTATGTGTTCGATATGTATCAGTTGTCAGAAGCTAAATAGATTGATTCATACTTTTTTACCTTTATTATTCTTGCTCGCTTTAACTGGAGTCATGTCTGCTGATGTGTGATGAATGTTAATCGATCTTTAAGTTAACTTTGCTTAAAGATAAGCTTTCTCTGGTTTCTCTGGATAAATACTTCCACATTCTAATTTAAATTGTCTTGCAAAACGTTTCAACAATTTTGTCTGAATAGGCTGGAAAGTACTTGATTTACCTTTTGGTCAGCAAATCGTTTACTCGTTTTAGGACCTTTTTCTCATCAAAATTAATCTTTTCACGCTTTCGTTTTTTTTGAACGTGTCTGTGAAAGCGTCGTGTATTTCATCTACCTTTTTTATGTGAAAGAAGGAGATGAATGTTACGGGTGTTAAGGGTTTTCAGCAACAGCTGAACGTTGCAACAACTTTGCAGCGAAAATGCACTAAAGATGTGGCAAAGTTATTCATTCTAATGTCTTTGCAAAATGCGATTAGATGGAATGTTGCAACAACGTAGTTATTTATCGTGTATATATATATATATATATATATATATATATATATATATATATATATATATATATATTAAAATTAATAAAACTATGAGTGAATGTCCATTACAAGTATTAAAATTACAGGGATGTATGGGCATTACAATTAAAAAAGTATCGGTGTATCGCCATTACAATTAATGAAAATATGCGTGGGCGGCCAATGCAATAAAAAAAATCTATATGGATGGATGGACAATACAATTTTTAAAACTATGGGCAGATGAACATTACAATTAAAGAACTATGTGGGTGGATGGCCATTACAATTAATATAGCTATGGGTGAATGGCCATTAAAATTAATAAAACTATTATGGGTGGATGGCCATTACAGTAAACAAAACTATTGGTGGACGGCCATTCCAATTAAAAAAAATATATGGGTGGATGGCCAATACAATTAATAAAACTATGGGGATATGAACATTACAATTAAAAATCTATGTTGTTCGATGGCCATTACAATTGATAAAACCATGGACAGATGTCCATTAAAATTATTAAAATTTGGGTGGATGGCCATTACAATTAATAAAATTATATGGGTGGATGGCCAATAAAATTAATAAAACTATCAGTGGA